TGAGGGGGGGTAAATCTTTAGTCTGGGTTCTGCCACATTTAAACCAGTCTGTGTATGCCAAACTTTTGTTCTGTTATGGGCTTAGATTGGTTTCTGTTCACTTATACTGATAAAAATATAATGTCTGTACCTGGCCCAAGACTAGTGTATTAGCTTGGCCATGCCTGTTATAGTTGTAGACCACACCAATACATCTTTCAAGTTGGTTGTCTGGTTTTTAGCCTAATACACTTTCAAAAGCTATCGGGCTATCCAGTCTTCTCACCATAGCATTTGAAGATGGAGTACCAAAGGACTTAACTCTCTAGAATCAGTGCTTAGCTTGTGGTTAGTGTTTTGTCTCCCTCTTCTTTCTGGATACAATATCAAATCTTATGACTCAGAGTCAAATAAATGGAAATGAAGAATATATTGGAAGCATGCTGTAGGGGATAAAGCTCTGCTTTGCTTTGCTCTGCTGTGAAGGAGGCCAGTTTTTATAGCTTCTAGAATCTATCAATACACTTAGGGGTTGCCTCAGAAAAATGAGCTGCCCTGGGAATGAAGTCCAGTCACTCGTGTCTGCTCAGGATGAGAAAGTTGTTTGGCTGTGTGGTCTTCGCTCCTAGTTTCCAGCTGCTGAATCAGTGAGAAAACAAAACTTACCTGTCTAGTTTTCTTACTGTCTTGTGTGCAAGATTTTGCTTTAGCTGCAAGGGATGCAATACAATTGTGACCAGCAGAGCAAGTGGTCTACATAATCACCTGTGACATGGGAGCTGGGTCTAGGAGGCAGTATGTTTCCTATTGCAGAAAAGTCTGAGAACCCCATCAATAGCTAGCTGCAGGTGTATGTTTAAACGGTTTGCAAGTAACCTGGTTAAAGATCAATTGGCTATTGGATTTTACATCCCTACCCTTCCTAAATTATTTAATGTTGCCAACATACAACTTTCAAGCTTCATTCCAAAGCTGCTAACATTTCAGTATTGGGGGAAGTCTTTCTAATCTATGCACAACTCCAAAGCACTTTGAAATGAAAGATTTCCATAGAAATGCAAGATGAATTGAAGGGCTCATCCTAATGCCTTAAAAGCAATGTAATCACTGAATACTACTGTTGCCATACTGTGGTGATGAACCTTTGCATGGTCAATAGCCATCAAACTGCTATAGTTCCTGGCCACATTGTCTTTTCATTTCATTTTTTTTTTTCTTTTAGAACTACACTACAAATAGGAGTAAGATTTATCATCACCCACCAAGAGCTGAAAATGCATTTCCATCTGTGCTCCTTGTTTTTTAACCAATATCGTGCTACATGAGCTTGGAGGGTTTTGAGAGGCCAGGATTTCTTGGGTTGATATCTTTTATTGGACCAGCTACGTAGTCAGGATAAAATTAGACAAGCTTTTCAAATGCAAGACATCCTTCCTCAGGTCCATCCTTGAGAGTTTTTGGTAATTCCCAGTATGCCTAGCTGTCTTCTCTTGTACATAAGAATGACCTTCATTAGGATGGTGGAGAGAGTAAAAAGATAAGCGATTGCTCTGTAGGTCATCGGGAGGATGGAAGGACATGCCAATCTTCAATCTCTAAATCTTCCTTCACATGACTCATCTCACTGAAACAACACTGCTTTTTATTAAGAACTGTAATCTCAGAATCCAGCCCAGTTCCTTTTTCCTTTAGTGGCGTGCAGAGCCCATACAATTCTACTCGAGTTTTCCTTACCTCCATGACTAATTTCAGTACTGTGCCAAAAAATGAACTGCCAGCTACTTGCCTTTGAGGAAGCAGTACAAAGCAATATTAAACCAACATGTACAGTCCAACTGTTGGCTAGTGCTCTTTTTACAAGCCAGCATTCAGACTAGACAAGATCAGGCCAGCATGTACAGCCTTGTGCGCTTCACCAGCCTTGTGCTCAAAGTTGTTTACTATCAACACACTTGCCCTACAAGTCTATAGCACTCTTAGCTGAAGCTTAGCAACAACATTGGGGGTGGGATTAAAAATGAAGCATGCTATATATGCATCATTTAATTGTGAACTTAATCCTGATTTGATTTCAGGATCCTGAGGAAAGGAAAGATGGAGAGCAGCAGTGTAAGGACCCTGGATTTTGACTCGCTTAGGGAATTCATGGGTAGGATCCTCTGGGAAGCCAGTTTGAGGGGAAGAGGAGTCCAGGAGAGCTGGCTGTACTTTAAAGAAGCCTTACTGAGAGCACAGGAACAAACCGTCCCAATGTACAGAAGGACTGGTCTGTGTGGCAGAAGACCAGCTTGGCTTGGCAGGGAACTTCAGTAAACTAAGTCACAAAAAGGAAGCTTTTAAGAAGTGGAAACTTGGACATATAAATAGGGAGGAGTATAAAAGCATTGCTCAGGCATGCAGGGATGAAGTCGGGAAGGCCAAAGCACAATTGCAGTTGCAGCTAGCAAGGGATGTGAAGAGTTTCTACAAGTATGTCAGTAGCAAGAGGAGGATCAGGGAAAGTGTGGGTCCTTTACTGAACAGAGGAGGCAACCTTGTGACAGGATGCAGAAAAGGCTGAAGTGCTCAGTGCCTCTTTGACCTCAGTCTTCACAAGTAAGATCAGCTCCCGGACTACTGCACCAAGCAGCACAGTTTGGGGAGGAGGTGAGCAGCCAACAGTGGTGAAAGAACAGGTTGGGGACTACTCAGAAAAGCTGGACATAGACAAGTCCATGGGGTTGGATGGGATGCTCCTGAGGGGGTTGGTCGCTGACACTGCAGAGCGATCGGCTGTCATCTTTTGAAAACTCT